ATTGCCCCATCTTTCTTCTGAGGCAGATGGGTTTGAACTGCCAACCTTCTTGTTAGCAGTCAAATGCCTTAGGCACTGTCCCACCAGAGCTCTTTAATGACCAAACATAAAGTACTAAAAGGGCAGTGAAACAGGGTATAGGATTTAATACAAAACAAATCCCCCAAAATGGAGGTTCCCTAATTGTACGTATATATAATTAGTTGGAGAAGGCCTCCTTAAGTTAAGACCACAGGGTGTACATGCATTCAGGCTTTCTTAAAGTCTGCCTAAGGGAGAGGAGCTTAGCAATTTGAGGTTTTCAGGGAAGACAGGTGTGTTTGGGCTGAGAGGCCGAGGTGAGGATGGAGGTGGAAAGGAGCAGGGATTGGATTCTTAGTAAGTATAATGGAATCCATTGAGGGTTTATGCTGAAAAATGAGGTATCCTAATTTAAGTTTTGAAAAGATTACTTTCAAGCTGTGTAGAAAATGGATTGGGAAAATTTCTTCTACAACTTTCTCTTGCTTTAACAAAATAGATACACCTCCTTTAAAACATATAAACAGATCTTATTTCTTAATTGTTTTTCTCATTTTCTTGATTGAAAGGCAGCAGAGAATAGTGGTTTAGAGTGGAATCAGCAAACTTCAGTAAAGGGCTCGACAGTAAATATTTTAGACTTTGTGGGCCATACAGTTGCTGTTGCAATGACTCAGCTCTGCTGTTATAGCTTGAAAGTGGCCGTAGGTTAATACATAAATAAATGGACTGTGCTCAAATAAAACTTTATTTTACTGCATTTGAATCTCATACAATTTTCTTGTGTCACAAAATAGTATTCTTGTTGATTTTTTTTTTTTTTTTTTATCATTAAGAAAATGTAAAACCGTTCTTAGCTCGGGGGCCATACATGAACAGTTGTGGCCCACAGATACTGACTCCTGGTTGAGAGTATTAACTCTGTCCCCAGTGTGCCTGGGATGAACTGCAGCTCCGCAGCTTCTGAACTGTGTGTCACTGTGCTGGGTTCATTTTCTTGAGTCTAAATTGGCACCTGATTCATGGGTCTATATTATTGTTGCTAGGTGCTGTCAAATCAATTCTGATTCATAGTGACCCCGTGTCCACCAGAGTGAAACACTGCCCGGTCCTATACCGTCTTCACAGTCTTTGCTGTGTTTGAGCCTGTTGTTGCAGCTGCTGTGTCAATCCATGGCATTGAGGGTCTTTCTCTTTTTTTACTGAGCCTCTGCTTTATCAAGCATGCTATCCTTCTCCAGGAACTGGCCGCCCCTGATAACGTGTCCAAAGTGCATGAGATGAAGTTTTGCTGTCCTTGCTTCTAAGGAGCATTCTGGCAGTACTTCTTCCAAGACTATAGCTGGGATAAAATGAGTTACTATTTGCAAAGCCCTTAAAATAGTACCCTGCACACAGTGAATGCTAAAATGGTTGGTTGTTTAACAAGATTTTTATCCTGAAATCAGAGATAAATTTTAATGAAAAACAAGCTGTCCTCGAGTATAATAAAATTCACACTTGGGTATATTGCTGAAGCCTTGGTTATCTGATCTCTCATCCAGAGGTAGGATCATACCACACACACACCCACCCCAAAAAAAGAGAGTCATTAGCGGTAGGAGAGCATTTGAGAACCTGCTTGCTTCTGTAGACTTCATTTAGTTTCATGAAGAAAGAGCTCCATCCTGAGAGAATGTTAAGATAATTAGCAGAAACAGAATAAAGGCAGTTTCTAGATTTCCAGCATGGCTGTTGCCTTTTTGCACTCGTTCTGCTGGCTAGGAGCTTTGGAGTCTTTCTAGCCAATCACAGACCTTTGCATAATGAACTTGCTTACCTGAGGTAAAGTACTTAAAAAAAAGGGTCTTTAAAAACAGTCAGTGCTGTATTGATGAATGTACGCTACTCTCTTGAGACAAAGTGTGTTACTTTCCCCCAGTTAGTGGTCTGATGGTTATGTTTTAATTATTAGTCACTTAAAGTAAACCTCAACATTAGCAATTCTTTCTTCTAAAATTTGTTAATTTTTGTTAAGAGGTTTTGTAAACTTAGGAGGGTCTGTAAAGTGAGTAACTGGTTAATGATGGTATTTTGTTTTGTTTAATTTGATACTCTTTCAGATTATACATCCAAAAACTGATGATCAGAGAAACAGATTGCAAGAGGCTTGCAAAGACATCCTGCTGTTTAAGAACCTGGATCCGGTAAGATGAATCTTAATGATGGACATGATTTTTTTTTTCCCCAGTTCCCCCATCAAGAACTGTGTGGGGTCTTATATTTTATCCTCCTTGCAAGCTAACAAAGGCACTCTGGTGGTGCAGCGAGTAAGCACTCAGCTGCTAACTGAAAGGGTGGTGGCTCAGACCCACCTCTGGCTCTGCGGGAGAAAAGGACCTAGCTGTCTGCTTCAGTAAGGAGCATTGTGTTGGGTGCTGTCTTGTTGATGCTGGCTCATAGTGACCCCGTGTACAGCGGGACGAAATGCTGCCGGTCCACACTGTCATCACGATCATCGCCATACTTGAACCCTTCGCTGTAGACACTGTGGTCAGTCTGTCTGGTTGAAGGTCTTCTTTGCTGACCCTCTTCTTTTCCAAGC